TTGGCGTACAGCTTAATCTGAACTTTTTGCAGAAATATTACACTTTGACCAAACCTTCATGAAATGTCAATTTTCAACCTGCAATTTTCAAACCATTTCTGATGGCAGAATTTATCATTGTGACAGTGAATTGTTGATATAATTCCTCATTATATCAAAAATAATGAGGAATTTGATTCTACATCAGTGAGAAACATTAATGCACATTTGTAAAGTTGATTCTACTGTTTGTGATAAGTGACTAGATCCAGTGTGATCAATCAGTATCCAAATGAAGTGTAAATGTTATCTTTTTTAATATTACAAAAAATGTCTCAAAGCACTTTACAAAAAAGAAAAATAATTTCAGTTCAACCATATGTATATTCTATTAAACCTTGGTATCTAAAGGTTTCTACTTAAGGAAAAAGTAGAAGCTGTGAAGTATCGGGCCACCGCATCTTTGCCAGCAACAAAATGCCTAAACTTTCCTCTTCCTCTGACTTTAATTACTCAATATGTGGAAGAGTGGCTAACACGGACTGAGTGGTTTTGTTCACTTCCTCTGAACCGGCTCAGAAAATCCACAGTAAATCAAACTGACAAATGGAGCTCAGTGGAACAAATCCCAAATGAGCAGAAAATTCAGTTGAGGAAAATCAGGATTCTGGAAGGCCATTGCCAGGCTAACTCAACATTAGCTCAGAGGCAAAATGACTTGCAGACTTTTTTTTTTCAATGCCCTTTCTGAATTATTATAACCCTTAATTAAAACCAACCAATTTTCAACAAATTTCCAAAGAACCTGTGTAGTGTGAAAGTTTGAAGAGTTGTAAAGTTTTGTATGTTTTTATTCATCATTTGCTCTAAATACTTCAACATTAAATGAATTGTAAAGTAAATTTTTTCTTATTGTGCCTTTTATTACCTATATTATGGTAAAAAGTCACTCTAGGTGGTGTATTTCTGTCTGGGTAACTGGGTTCAGGCTGAACAGGAAGCACTCCCATCCTGGTTAATTCTCTTGCTGCCTGTCCTCTAATCTCATCTTTATGCTCTGGGGTTCCCCGCTGTAATTACTGAGCCAAACCGCCCCGGCAGCTCTACTGGCATGTCAGCTTAGGAAACAAACTGTTCTGCTCATTGGCAGGCGGGCAGAGACCAGCAACAGCTTTTTCTGCCTTTGTTTGTGCTTACTCAAGTAAAAGCAGAAATCTGAATAGAGCAGAATGATTGAGAGGCACCCTTACAGGCGTGATGCAGAACTTTTTACATTCATAATGAGATATGGATATATCATGGTACTTTAATAATCAGTGTGCATCGTTGGTGTGTTTTCAGCTCAGTGTGTGTTCCTGGAAGGTGCACACACTGAGCTGTGTGCACCTGAGCTGCACTGAGAAATGAGAGCTCAGTGTGCACCTGAGCTCTCATTTCTCAGGTGCACACTGAGAAGAAATCTCATTTCTTCCTGTGGAGGTGAAATGAGATTTAGGGACATTTCTAAAAATGGATTGAGACCCTCGCCATCTGGGTTCCATCCAACAGCAGAAAAATACAGACAGCCTCTAATACAACAGCCTCTAATCACAATTTTTTCCTAATTTCTTTTAGTACAATTATAACTTTTAAGATTTTGTGTGTTTTCTGTAAAAAGTGTTAAATTTACTGCTGTTGTGCCTCTTTTGGAGTTTTGATTCTAGGAAAGAAAAGAAAAAAAAACCCTGCCTATTACTGAAATTAGATTGTAAACTTCATTAGCAGCCACCAGGGCCAGAGAAAACAGGATTTGCTGGCCGTTTGGGGCAGAGTTAATGTCCTGTTGATACCAACCAAAAAGCCAAAGTAGATAACCAGCTGAAGACCATAATGAAGATGAGAAAACATCTGAAGCAGTAGCTACAAAAAAAATTGACACCAGTTATGTCTGTAGAATTCCACGAGGATTGAAGTTACTTTTTTTAAACCATGGAATGAGAAATTAGTAAGTTTGCAAACAATTGTCTTGAACGTCAGCCATGTCTCACTACCTTGTTGAAACTCTGTGATTTATTAATGTCCTTTTTATTGTGGTTATAAAAACATCAGCTGACAAAACTCCCTCAAAAATTAAATATGTTTTTTTGTCTTATATAAAGTAGATTTCTGGTGCTGTGAATAGCTAAAATTCACAAATACTTGAGACCCCCTTTAAAATGTTTAGAACTGGCTATTTTAATAGTTCAAACAGCAAATATTATTTAATATTCACTAGCATACCCACAGGAAAGCAATGGTAGCATTGCCTTAGATATTTTGATTCATTGTTCTCTGTTACAAACTGTTTCTGATGAAAATCCTTTAAGAAATAAAATTTGCAAAGTGAATATTCTGTGCTCAAAACTGACTGACCTGTTCTCTATTGTCTTCTGCAACATTTAGAATATAAAATAAATTTATTTTTGGCCTTTTACACAATGTGACATCCAACAATTACTATTCATTTGAGCAGACTTAGCTCAGTTCATTAAATTATAATTAGGATTTGAATGTTTCATCAGCCTATAATGTGTACATCACAGTCAATTCTTTTGTAAAGATTTGAATACATTTTTGTTAAAAGAAAAGATGCTACTTAATAGACAGTTTGCAAATAGAGAGGCTAATCGCAAAATATTCAGTTTTGTGTCATTATCTAAATTGTTGCTCATTTATCGAATTAGCATATTAATGATTTCTTTTTTTAATTTGCATATAATGCTTTAGACAGGTTTCCTCAATAAGCATGTATTTACACTTGTGCACTTGTAATTGAGTAATATTAAAATCAAAAGGCAGGCATAAGGAACCAGACAACCCAAAAATGCAGGTGTGGAGTTTCTCCTAGCTGTTTGAGATTAATATTATGTGAGCAAAGACCTGGATAATTATGACAGGAAGAATCTTTGGAGATAAAAAAAAAATGCTGCAGAGAGGTGGAGGATGAATTCATTAAAATCTGAATTAATCTTGAGTCAAATCTTTTCATCCACAGCTAGAATTGACACTTAAATCTGTGCAATTGTGCTTATAGAAGCAATTAAGAGAAACCCTTTCTTTCCGTTCTCTTCTGGGATCATTCTCTTCACACTGTGACAGCTTCATTAAATTTGGAAAGCATAAGAAATAGCATCATTTCTTATGCTTAATTGTGAGATCTAGCCTTATTAATCGTTATGTAGCTTTAGGGAAAAAGACTGAGGAGGTGGGAACCATTAGAGCAAAAAAAGCAACAGGAGACTCAGACTAAAAGGGAAGACAGTGGGAAAGAACAGGTATGATTATGCCAATGCATCTCTTTATCGTAGATAACATAAACAAGTACACTTGTTTATAATAAATTTTAAAGCTAATTGGATTTAAATTACAATAAAATCCTGCAGGTCAAATATCAAGTCAGGATTTGAGAGTGTCATGGCTGCCAGTGTGCTGTCTGCACTGAAATAAAACTAAAATAACCAACATGCATTTCATTAAATATTTTTTTTATATATATCTATTTTCAGCATGTTTTCCATCTCTCGTCTGCTGCAGAAATATCTGCAACCCAACTTTCAGTTGCTTTGGCAACTTGGCGTTACCATAATCTTTTTTATTTTTATAGTAATATAAAAAACACTTCAATATTTCTAACTTTAGTGGAACAAAAAAAAGGCAAAATGTCCAAGAGTGTTAAATAACTAATCAAATGGGTTATGAGTTCTAAATGTAATGATTTTAGTCCTACTTCTATTTATTGTATTATAGGGAGTCTAGGAACGGTGCGGTTTGGTTTGGTATTTGGGCCACTTTTAAATGAAAACTTTTTAACTAATTTGAATAATGAACTGGAAACATACTGCTTAATTACTAAGCAGAATGTAGTATTGCATACTAAGATTAACTAGAATGTATGTGTGGCTGTCATGTGTAGGAGTGAGTCATAGAACCCAGTTGCAAATCAACCTTTTGCCTGACAGAAAAGCCATGTGAGAAAAATAAATGTGCAGAATATACAATTAAATAATCCTGCCAAGACCAAACGTAAGATGTAATTAGCCGGCTTAGTTTTTTTTTTTTTTTAAATGAATCTAAGACAATTAAAGGTTTTAATTTTAGATTAATTTTAGACAGCCTGATTGGTTGCTGTTATATACAAAGGGTAGGACATTATTGCACTGAGAGTAGCACAAGAGAAAGAGGGGAAAAGAAGAGATCTGGAAAAAATACCAGGTTTATTGTTGGAGATTGGGTGTTCCATGTTTCATTGACTCAGTGCATATACACAATTCCATTATCAATTCCTAATGCTAGCTGTGCATGCATGGTTTTTCTTCTCCTAAACTCAGAACATCAGAATTGTAAAAAAAACATATGTCTCACAGCCACAGAGAGGGCACATTCACTTACTATTTAGTCCGCCTGGTAATTATCATATCCACCATCTGTTAGAGAGCATATGATAAGTAGGAGAAGGAGTAGAACTGCCAAGAGGAGATGGAGGGAGCGAGAAACGAAGAGACAGGGAAAGAGGGAGAAGAAAGAAAAGAGTGTCCCTGTCAAAGCCTAGATCATCACGTGTGTTAGTGGCTGCTTGCGTGCGTCTGTCATTGCATACATTTATGCATGAATGTGTGCGATTGTGTGGGAGCAGTGAGTACAAGGAGAGACTATTTATAGGAGCTGCCTCACCTCGCCGCCGGCCGCGTGTTTACCAGGAACCCAGAGGCAACATGGATATCCCAGCAGACAGAGCTGTGCCTTGAAGCGATGTGTCACAGCTCACCCCACCTCGCTCCTGCTGCCTCCCTCTGCTCCTCCTGACATCCTGCCTGAACTGTCTTTCAGACTTGCCCTTATGGAGTCCAAATCTCTCTGTAATCAGCGGCACAACTCCACGATTCCTATCCAAACTGAAACACTGTGCCGCTATTAGAAAACACACACTAGCTGCAATTTCACAGACTGTTATCATGGTGTGAACAAAAGGAATGACGTTTTTGGAAAATAAATATGGAAAGTATAGTTATGGAAAACCCGTAATGAAATAAGCCTTAAGTAGGCATGAAAAAATAGATTAGAATGGCCAAAAATCAACCCCTATTATTTGGACAAATTAGCTTTTCCAAAAAAATATTAAAATATTACATCGTTTAAGGTCAGATAATAAGGTCAGATTTGACCCAATTATGTTAAACCTGCCTCAGCTTCTGTATCACCTTCTGCAAAGCTTTGAGACTATTTAAAAAAAAAAACAGAACACCATGTCATCTGATCTGCAAGACGGATCAGCGTAAAACACCTGGATGTTCCGATTCACCTACTAAAAAACAAGATCAGTTCACCTGTTACAGTCCTTTCCCTTTCCTTAGAAACATAATCATACACTCCATTAAATATAGCGTTTTTAATGGTTTTATTGTGCTGATAGTTAATATAAATCAGA